ACCACTGCCCCTACTTTACGCTCTCTCTAGAGGTCCACAGGCCCCCATCTACCCTCAAATCTGGCTTTTCCTTCCCTTAAGTCACTGAGTGTCTCTTCAATTAGATAGAAAACTCCTGTGAGCAGGGACCCTGTGGCTCAACACTTAAGCTTTTCTAGTGTGAGCAGGAGGGGTCTTGGTAAGCCTTCATGAGTATGGACTCCGGCCTCACCTAGTCACTGTATGGCAAATTGAGGCTGAAGAAGAAAGAAAACGAGCAAAAGAGCAAGAGGCTGGTCCAAGCCACATCTGAGGGCTCTAGTCAGACAGACACTTCAGGAGATGCGGACCCTGAAAACCAGGTGAGGCCAAGGAGGACTCCCTAGAACCTCTAGGAGAACCAAGCCCCCTCAGAAGTCTCCTTTTCAAGGCCTTCACAGATGCTATTTTCACCATCAGAAAGCTCATGTACCACCATCTCAGTTGATATGCCTATCCACAGCTCACCTAGAATCTATTCTGAAGCCTGGTAGAGGGTGCATTTTGTTTGTTTGTTTTAAGATAGTGTTTTCTTTTTTGTTTTGTTTTGTTTTTCGAGACAGGGTTTCTCTGTATTGTTTTGGAGGGTGTCCTGGAACTTGCTCTGTAGATCAGGCTGGCCTCGAACTCACAGAGATCCACCTGCGTCTGCCTCCCGAGTGCTGGTATTAAAGGGATAGTGTTTTCTTGCAACAGCTCTGGCTGTCCTGGAACTTGCTTTGTAAACCAGGCTGTCCTTGAACTCAGAGATCTGCCTGCCTCTGCTTCCTGAGTGCTGGGATTAAAGGTGTGTGCCACCAACGCCTGGCTTCTTACATTTTCTTTTTAATGTAATTTAATTTTTATGAGTATGGGTGTTTTGCTGGTTTGTGTGTCTGTGTGACATGTGTGTACCTACAGAGTTCAGAAGAGGGCATCTGATTCCCTGGAACTGGAGTTACCAACAGTTGTGAGCTACCATGTGGGTGCTAGGAATTGAACCCATGTCCTCAAAGAGCTGTCTTGTTTATTTTACGACAGGTTCACATAATGCAGCCCTGGCTGTCCTGGAACTTGCTCTGTAGTCCAGGCTTGCCTTTATCTTCCAAATTCTGGGAACTGGAGTTACAGACAGTTGTGAGCTGCCATGTGGGTGCTGGGAATTGAACCTGGGTCCTCTGGAAGAGCAGTCAGTGCTCTTAACTACTGAGCCATGCATCTCTCCAGGCCCCAAGTGCTGGGATTAAAGGCTTGCACCTCTACCACCCAGCTCTAGTTCTTTGTTTAGAGAGAACATCCTCTCCTTTCCTGTGTTCTTTGTTAGTCCTGCCCTCTGCGCAGGTCCCAGGTTCCTACCAGGGAATTCATTCCCCCTGGCAAGGGTCTCTTACCAGAACTGGGACAGATGGAGATCTGTAGTTATGACAGTTTCATGTCCCCATCAGTCCCAATTCCTGCCACTTCATCCTGGCAAAGCCCACATCTCAGAGAATTTGACCTTGTTTAAGTGTGATCTCTGTTGCTGTGACAAAACACTGCCCACATGCAATTTATGGGAAGGAAGGGTTTGTCCGGTTTGTAACTCCTAGGTCACCGTCCCTCATTGCAGGAGATCAGGGAGAGAACTCAAGCAAGGGCTTGCAGGAGAAACCACCAAGGAATGTTGCTTGCCAGCTTGCTCTTGGGTTCATGCTTAGTTAGCTTTCTTTTTTATTTTTTTTAAATTCATAATTTATTTAATGTTCATTGGTGTGTTTTGTCTGCATGTCTGTCTGTGTGAGGGCATCAGAAGGCCTGAAACTGGAGTTTAGACAGATGTGAGCTGCTATGTAGGTGTGCTGGGAATTGAACCTGGGTTCTCTGGAAGAGCAGCCAGTGCTCTTAACTGCTGAGCCATCTGTCCGGCCCCTTAGATAGCTTTCTTACACAACTCAGGACACCTGCTAAGGGATGGTACTGCTCACAGTGGACTGGGCCCTCCTACAATTAGCAATCAAGGGACCTCTCAGGCCAGCCTGATATAGGCAATTCTTCAGCTGAGGCTCTCTCTACTCAAGGGACACCTCCAGGTTGTATCAAGTTGACCAGGACAGTCTACCATAGTCTCAGTGGCCCAAAGAGGCACACAAGCCCCCTGGGAACAGTTTTAAAAAAATAGCCACTCTTGACCATGTATGGTGACTCATGTCTTTAGTCCCAGCACTCAGGAGGCAGAGGCAGGCAGATCTCTGAATTTCAGGCCAGGCTGGTCTGCAGAGCAAATTCCAGGACAGCCAGAGCTACACAGAGAAACCCTATATCTGAAAAGAAAAGAGAAGAAGAAGGAGGAGGAGGAGGAGGAGGAGAAGAAGAAGAAGAAGAAGAAGCCACTTTTCAGTCTCTACACTTAGATATCCCCTCAGCCTCACACAAGCTCAGCCACACACCCCATCACATTCAGGCATAGTCACTAACACGTAGTCTCCAGGAAGGCCAAGTGTCCACACAGAAATCAGAGTCATCAGCTGTCACCAAAGCTCTCTAGTGCTTGGATATGCAGAACCAAACAAAGATGCAGACTCACACAACAACAAATGTACCCACCTAGGGTCTCACAAAGCCACACACACAATCACAAAGCCATACAAAGTCACACACAGTGAACAGACACATAGCTGCACAGATTCTCAGAGTCCCAGAACAATGGGGGCATTGTCTGGGTTGGCAGCAGCTGGGGAGAAAGGAGCCACAGTGGACAGGAGGCCATGGGGGCTGCTGTACATGGCCTCACCACTCCAGCGTCTTTCCTTTTCCAGAAGTCAGATTCTGCCAGGACCTACATTTGCTGAGGGGCTGGCACCCCCTCCTCAGCCTCCTGGGACTTTTGGTGAAGATGCAGAGCCTCTGCTGGGAACGGGGCTCTCAGGGGACTTGGGCATTCAGGGTCTCTTAGCCCTGTGTTCTTCCCTCCTGGAATCTTCCCAGAGACTTGTCTGTATCTCCGCCAGGCAGTGCCTGGAGAACAGGAGCCTCGAGGTCTACTCCTAACCTTGGGGCTCAACACTCCAGGACTCACACACACCATCTGAATCCTTCTAGGCAGTCAGTCCAGGCAGTGCCTGGCAGCACTGTGGCTCTCCTATTGTGGCCAAGACAGAGAGCCTGTCAGGAGGTCTATCCCTTAGTGCTAACAAGTGGGGCCACCGTGCTGTGAATGACCTGCAGGGGGGCCATGGTACCCTTCCCTGCCCCCAAATAATTCTTCTTGCCTCTCACCTCATCAGACAGCCCGGTTCTCAATAGGAAAGCATTCAGGGTTTTTTTCCGCCCTTAGCATGTCTTTCCTATTCTGAACCTGGGGTAAAATGAGAGGCTAGTCCAGCAGTGTCCGAGTCACGGTGGAAATGAAGGACACAGGAGAAAGCCTGGAATGCAGAAGCCACCTCACCCCTCTATGGTCCTATCTGTGGGGAGTTCCCTGATTTCTCAGGGTTAGGGTTGTCTCCCAGGAGTCCCCGCCTAGGAGGAAGGGGCATGTTGAGCTATTCAAGACTCAGCTTTGCTTTTGTAACACTTGGCTTCCTCCAGCCCCCATCCCGGTCTCGATGGGGGACAAGAGGAAGTAGCTGTCCTCAACACATATCTGGGCCCAACCAAGGACTCTGGGTTCTCACTGGCCTACCTGGTCTAAAGAAGGAAACAGAAGAGGACCAAGGTCTCTAAAAAGGGTGGGTTTTGGGGGGTTATCCCTAGTGGTGTGTCACAGAGAGGGAGGAACCCAAATGTCTTCCTTCACGTTAAGGAACTGGTGTCTGAAGTCTGTGGAGTCTCACTGGGACTATGTTACCTGCTGAATGGGGAAGCCCCAGTGTGTGGGCACAGACCTGAGGGGAGGGGAAACCAGAGCTAAATCAGGTATATGTCAAACATCTCGGAGTGTCAGGCTCTTCTGCTTACAAAGTGGGACGAAGATCAGTGACTTCTGGTCAAGAACACAGGCACACGAGGAGACACATGGAGACACATATGGAGACAAGCACACACACACGCACACATGGAGTCACACATGCAGACACACATGGAGGCAGGTACACACACACAGACACACATGGAGACAGGCACACAACATAGACACACATGGAGACACACATGGAGACACACATGCACACAGGCACACACACATGGAGGCAGGTACACACACACACAGACACACATGGAGACACACATGCAGACACACATGCACACAGGCACACACTCACAGACACACATGGAGACGGGCATACACACAGGTACAGAAACACACTCACACACACACACACACACACACACACACACACATGCACGCACGCACACACGCTGCAATACCCCTGCCATGGACTTCTGTAATGGATTCAGGCTGCAGGAAGAAAACTGGACACCAACAGATGGAGAAGAGTGACTGTTGGATCTCACAATTCCGACCAGAGTGACCCCACTTTAGGTCAGACCCCCAGTTTGTTTGCAGTAGACTGGTAGGGACGTGGTTGGAGCTTAACTTCTGACCCGAGGGGGTGCCAAACTCAGAGGATAGGAGGGTGTGGGGTGCTTCGGCAATTTTGGACAAATTTCTAGAGCACAACCCAGGATCAGCCATCTGACGAGTCTGGACATGTGAGCCCTTCCAAGAGTTCAAGGAGCCAGTGTAGAACCGGGGAATGGGGGCCTCTCCACTGTGGAGGAGGACTCAGGCTGGAAGTGAGGCTGTGAGAGCAAAGGATGACTGAGTGCTTCTTCCTCGACGGCCCCCTCCCAGTCTGGCTCCCGGCGGGACCGGGAAGCTCTCCTCTCCACACCGAACCCTATCTGCCCCTAGCAGTGCCTAGTGATGGGGGAGCCAGAGGGCTAGCTTTGGCCACTGCACGAGAGGGGCCCGGACTCCGGGCCCGACCCCGCCTCCGCCCCCCGATTGGGTGCTCATTTAAATGCCCGGCCCCGCCCCGAGCCCCGGGTGCATACATATAGGCGGCTCGGCGGGCGGCGGGCGGCATTCTGGCGCGGAGCGCAGCAGCGACGGGCGCAGCTAGCAGGTCGGCTACGGAGCGGGGGTGCAGCGCGCTTTACCCCCGTACCCCTCCCCCTCGGACGCAGCCCCACCCCTCCGCCCGCCGGGCCGTCCCAGCCGAACTATCCCCTGCGGCGCCAGCGCGGGGCGGCTCCGGGCGCCCCTAGCAGACCCCCACCATGGGCAGCCAGAGCTCCAAGGCTCCCCGGGGCGACGTGACCGCCGAGGAGGCAGCGGGCGCTTCCCCCGCGAAGGCCAACGGACAGGTGGGTGCGCTCGGAGCTTCGGGCCCTGGCCCTCGACCCGCGCGCCTCGCCCCTCTGGGGCCCAGGCCCGGGGCCGCGCGCTTTGTCCGGCCCGGGACACGAGGCGCCCCCTCCCCCGCCCGGTCCCTTTGTTCTCGGCGCCGCAGCCCCCGCGGGCGAACGAGGGGAGGGGCGGGAGGGGGCGCCGGCCGGGCTCGCCGCCTTCTTTGTTCGTGCCCGGACCGCGGGCGCTGCCCCCAGGCTGCCCCGAAGGCCGCGCGTGGAACAAAGGCGCTGCTAGGCCGCGCCAAGGGGGCGTCCGAGGCCTCGGGATCGGTGCTGGGCACCCAGGGTGACCCATCTGCAGCCCCGACCTCGGCGGCCCGTGGTGGCTTTTGAAGTGGAGGGCAGCAGAGATGTGGGGAGACTCTGGGATGGGTGGGGGCTGTTCACACAAAGCGGGAGCCTGGGAAAATCGGCCGTCCAGGTGCTGGGAGGCAGCGCCCCGGGGCTGCTTCCCGCCCAATAGCTCCGGGCTAGGCTTGCCCACCCGCCTGGGCTCCAGGCCCGGTGAGGTTCCGCGCGGAAAATAGAGAGCGCGCCCCGGGGGAGGGGGGGTGGGGGCCCGTACCCCAGCGCCTCCTGCTGGCTGTGATCGTCCCAGCGAGCCTGTGAGGGGCGAGGGCTATGTTGGATGGGAGTGAGGCCAAAGCCAGACTTGGGTTGCTGCAGACCAGTGGTGGGTTCCACCGCCTGCAAGGGTTCAGAAGCAGCCTGGGGTAGGGAGAGAAGGGCCCCATCCCTCACTGCTCTCTCCTCTGCCCTGCAGGAGAATGGCCACGTGAAAAGCAATGGAGACTTAACCCCCAAGGGTGAAGGGGAGTCACCACCCGTGAACGGAACAGATGAGGCAGCTGGGGCTACTGGCGATGCCATCGAGCCAGCGCCCCCTAGCCAGGAAGCTGAGGCCAAGGGGGGAGGTCGCTCCCAAGGAGACCCCCAAGAAGAAGAAGAAATTCTCTTTCAAGAAGCCTTTCAAATTGAGTGGCCTGTCCTTCAAGAGAAATCGGAAGGAGGGTGGGGGCGATTCCTCGGCCTCCTCACCAACAGAGGAAGAGCAGGAGCAGGGGGAGATCAGCGCCTGCAGCGACGAGGGCACTGCCCAAGAAGGGAAGGCCACTGCCACCCCTGAAAGCCAAGAGCCCCAGGCCAAGGGGGCAGAGGCTAGTGCTGCCTCCAAGGGAGGAGACACGGAAGAGGAGGCAGGGCCCCAGGCTGCAGAGCCATCTACTCCCTCGGGGCCTGAGAGTGGCCCTGCATCGGCCAGCGCTGAGCAGAATGAGTAGCTGGGTGGGGGCAGGTGGGTGATCTCTAAGCTGCAAAAACTGTGCTGTCCTTATGAGGTCACTGCCTGGACCCGGTGCCCTGGCTGCCTTCCTGTGCCCAGAAAGGAAGGGGCTTGTTGCCCCCTCCCAGCCACGACCCCTCTCTCCCTCCTGTGGATTCTCCCATCAGCCATCTGGTCTTACTGTTAAGGCCAGTCGAAGATGGTCCCTTACGGTTTCCCAAGTTAGGTTAGTGATGTGAAATGCTCCTGTCCCTACCTCCTCCCCAGGCCCCACCCCTGCAGAAGGCAATTGCTGGCTTTCCTCCCAATTCTTTTCCAAGTACGTTTTGTTTATTCTACTTCTGAAACCCCTGAGCCAGAAGTGGGGGGGCTTATACTCCCAAACCCTGAGTGTCCAGCCTTTCCCCTGTTGAGTTTTTAGTCTCTTGTGCTGTGCCTAGTGGCACCTGGGCTGGGGAGGACATTGCCCCGTCTGGGTTTTATAAACGTCTTACTCAAGTTCAAACCTCCAGCTTGTGAATCAACCATATCTCTGACTTGACAAGCAAGTGTTAGGCTTCGGGGCGGGAGGGAGGTCTGTAATGTGAAACAACTTTTTGTTGTCTTTTTTTTTTTCTCCCATCGTTGTAAATAACTTTTAATGGCCAAACCCCAGATTTGTACTTTTTTTTTCTAACTGCTAAAATCGTTCTCCTCCACCTGGATTTGCTGTAACATTTGGAACAGGAATAAATGTTGTCCCTTTAGTGGTGCTTTAATGAGTGGTCGTCTTGGGCACACATGGGGTAAGGAAGAAGACAGCTGGTGAGTTCAGGGGGTTTCTGGCAATTACCCGGAAGAGAGTTAGAATCAGCCAGGGACACTGCTAGGAAACAAGCTCAGGAGGGTATAGAAATGTGTTGTTTATTATAAAGAGTCTCACAAAATGGAATATCTCAAAAAGGAAGCTAGGCTAAAACCTCCACCTGCAGAGTTGGGGGAAGACAGGGCAATGGGAGTTTTTCTGCTTGCCTGAGTCCAGTGGGAAGGTATAAACAGAACCAATCTAAAAATGGCTGATATTACCTAAGCCTGAAAATAAGGGGTCCCAGAAGACTCTGTTACCCCTTCTAGAAAGCTTAATAAGGGCATCTTAACAGAGCTCCTAAAGCAGGCACTTGGCAGTTCAGGATTTTGTCTTCTGGTTGCTTTCACCCTACATGGCTCAAAACTAAGACCTGAGCAGGATGGACAAGGTGGCTTTGGGAAGAGCTCCCCCAGCACCACTGCACTGGGCTCTGGTCCCTGGTTCCTGTCTAGTCCCTGGGGACATTATATTTAATATATTTTATATAAATACACAGAGGAATAGAAAATATAAAATCTGAGATTGGGGAGAAGTGGGGAACTTGGGGAGAGGCCAGAGTCGCAGATCTTGATGCTCAGGCTAGCTTGACCTCTTCTTTGACCCTGTGGAGAAAACAGACTGCATGAGTAAACCTCAGGAAGGCTGGAAGCAGAAATACAGCTACAATGACTTCCATAGGCCCCTAACTGCCCAGGTGACTTCTGGGAGGGGGCTGGGCTTCCTAGTTCTGCAGACTGAACCCTGAAAGGGGCCTTTGTAAACTAGACCAGCTGTCCCTGCGCTGTCTCTACCCTCCCCAGTGATAGGACACAAGGGGTGACGCTCCAATGCCAGGGAGATGGCCAACAACTCCTTCCTCACCCTTTGGCTTCTGGCTTCTCCTCCTTGGTCTTCTCTTCTTCGGTGACTTCTAGAACACAAGAGCACAGGGATGGTTGGAAGCTTCAAAAGACCCAGGTCAGGCAGTGGGACTCTTCTATCCTGAAACCCCTTCTCCAGTATTACACTTCACTGGTTATAGAAAAATGAGAAAAGCCCATCCCAGGTCCTTTGGTGAGTCTGACTGAAAACAAACAGGTTAGACCAGTTTCCCAACCAGTTTCAGCCAGAACACAGGCAGAGGCAGCCCCCTGGGAAACAGGGCAAAGTGCTGGGGACCAGGCTTGGGTGCTATGTGAGAGCCAGGCTCAATCTGCCAGCAGAGCCCAGGAGTCATTGTTTATGGTCTTGCTACTTCTAGGAGCTACTGAAAGGCTTAAGGAACCCAGACAACACCCCACAGAAGCTGACCGGGCCTGGGTTAACACTTTCCTGTGCCCTAATTAGACCCAAGTCGTGGCCCAAAACAAACCCACCTTTTTTCTCTTCTGGATCTTTCTCTTTTTCATCCTCTGTTTTGACTCTTTTGGCTTTTTTGAAGTTAGAAGAGTTCTTGCGACCTCCTTCTCCCTCCTCATCTGAGTCGGAGAATTCTTCCTCACAGGCAATTCGTTTGTCAGAAGAGCAGACTAGGAGGTAGCAGACACATAAAACATTGGTATGTGAGCAAGGAGCTATTTCAGGATCTATGCCTTAGTGTCCTTCAAGAGACGCTATAGGGACTGAGCGGCAGAGAGCCTGCCCACGTGAGAAGGCCCTGGGTTCCATCCTCAGCACTACTCCACAAAGACATCAGGGGTCTCAAAGCTAAGGTTTCTTCTTCCTTTTTTCCTTTTTGGTTTTGCAGGACAGGGTTTCTCTGTGTAATAGTCCTGGCTGTCATTATGTAGATCAGGCTGGTCTCGAACTTACTGAAATCCACTTGCCTCTGCCTCTCAAGTGCTGGGATTGAAGGCGTGAGCCATCACCACCCAGCAAATATAAGATTTCTTAACAGCTGGGCAGCTTGGAAGTTCAGAGCTGACTACTGAGCAGGGAGTACAGGGCCCTGGATCTAGGTCTTACTGGAGATGCGTTTGTCAGGGTCTTCTTCGTCCTCATCACCACTCTCCTCTGGGATGGCATCCTCAGGTATTGCCTGCATTTGGACACCAGGCGCATGGGGCAGCATTCTCAAGTTCTCAAAGAGCCTCTGCCTACAGTTAACAGGATGGGCTCTGGTTAGACAATGCAGACTTGCCCTGGTCAATGGAGACACAGCTTAGCAACACACTTACTTGATTTTCTCCAGGTATTCGTTAGTGTTCTGGTTGGTCATATTGGAAGGGCTGATGTGAAGCTTGAAGTCCGGTCCAAAGTATTCAAAGTAGTCATTGTATGGTAGCTCTGAGGGGACATGGGAGAGGAGAGTCAAGACACTGCCAGCACAGGGCCCGGAGAAAAGCATACAGAACTTTCTCTGGGTCTGTTTACCCACCTGGAAAAGAAGAATGCCTCCAAGATATTGAGATTTGGACACCTACAAAGTTTTAAATTTTTTTTCTTTCTGTCTTTGTGAGACAGGATCCCTCTGTGTCCAGGGTGGCCCGAGCTTCCTTCCCAAAGGCTGGGATTACACTTAGGACCCATTTAATTTTGATGACACCATGCTCTAATATCAGAACTATTGGAATATGTGTCCGAAGGAGGGAAAGGTCAAGTCCTGGTGTAACACTAAGCACTCCTGTTGATTAGCCCATGCAGTGGAAATCCCAAACATCTAAATGACTGATAATGTCCATACCAAAAACCAGAGGTAAAGAAGACAAGACTAGGGAAAAACTGATGGCTACAACTTGCCTATCAGCAGAGAATAAGCAGAGACCTCAATTATGAGTATGAGAGACATTATGACGAAATGGGAAAGAAGTTGTAAATGGAGGCACATAAGGTCCAGCTCCCACCCAGCCCAGCCTGGATGAGGAGCTAATACCATTAGGGATCTCTGTGTCCAGGGCCACAGCGGTTTCATAAGTCCAGCACCGAGCAACATTACGGATGGTATATCCACCTCCTCCCAGCATCAGCATAGGCAAGTTGAAACTCTTGACAAACTCCACACACTTGGCATGCCCTTTGGAAGGAAAAGAGATGTTGGTTTACAGGGGAACCCAGGAGACCCTGCCCATCCCTGTGTGTGCTACCTGGTCTCACCTTTAATGGTTAGATTGAAACAACCTAACCGGTCTCCAGATAGGGAATCTGAGCCACACTGTAAGACTACTGCACTAGGTTGGAACATCTCCATCACTTTGGACATGACCTAAAAGGATACACCTTGGTTATCATTTAAAAAAAAAAAAAAAAAGCAAGCACTTTCTTCCTTTTTATCTCCCCATACTGTGTGGTAGACAAGAGCTTTCCAATTTAAACACAACCTCTAGTTGCTTCTGCTTAATTCATTTGGCCCTATAGATTTAAGCCTCATACACATATTTTATTCTCAAACCTAAGCATGTCACTCAGAAGTCTAAAACTGAAGCTTCTATCATCTTTACTACTAAGTACATAGTAGGCACGTGTCTGAGGGATCACATAACTTACATTAAATATTGTTCTTAAAAAGTTTCTGTTTATAGCCAGTCGATGTTGGTGCACACCTTTAATCCCAGCACTTGGGAGGCAGAAGCAGGAGGATTTCTGTGAGTTCCAGGTCAGCCTGGTCTACAGAGCTAGTTCTAGGACAGTCAGAGCTATACAGAGAAATCCTGTCTGGAAAACAAAAACAAAAACAAAAAAAAGAAGAAGAAGAAGAAAGGAATCCTAGTAGTTGATTCCAAAGCCTTCACTATCAGATCAGCCTGCTCCCATCTTTCTTTGGAGTATTCTCTGCTCTGCTAATAAACTGCTTAAAAGGTCAAAAACAGGGCTGGAGAGATGGCTCAGAGGTTAAGAGCACTGACTGTTCCTTCAGAGGTCCTGAGTTCAATTCCCAGAAACCACATGGTGGCTCACAACCATCTACAATTCATTCTGGTGCCCTCTTCTGACATAGAGCCATAACACTGTCTATGTAATAAATAAATAATCTTTAAAAAAAAAAAAAAAAAAAAAAGATCGAGGCCAGCCTGGTCTACAAGAGCTAGTTCCAGGACACCCTCCAAAGCCACAGAGAAACCCTGTCTCGAAAAAAAAAAAAAAAAAAAAAGTGCAGTCCTGGAGAGCCAGGGCCTATGGCCAAATGTCTGTAATTCCTGGGCAACTGCATTTAAAAAAAAAAAAAAAAAGGTCAAAAACATTACTGTTAACCAGGCAGTGGTGGCACATGCCTCTAATCCCAGCACTCAGGAGGCAGGCGGATCTCAAGTGAGTTCTAGGCCAGCATAGTCTATAGAGTGAGTTCCAAGACAGGCTCCAAGCTACAGAGAAAACCTGTCTTGAAATACTAAACAAAAAACACAAACAAACAATCCCCAAACCGTTTGTATTGTGTAACAGTCTCAGATTGCATCCTGCAGGGATGCTCCTTAAGCAGGAAGGCAAAGGACTCAAAACTGCTTTAAGAAGTCCCTGAAACTGGGACTGCTTCCTGCCAGAGTAAGTAGTAAAAGCTGCAAAGACTCTCAGACCAGACCAGATGCCTGGAAGAAACAGAAACCAGCTGAGCTGTCTGGGAAAGCTTCAGACCAACTCAGCCACCTGGAAAGGACACTACCTTGTGAGCTGCCTGGAGGCTGTGCAGTGTGCTTCAGGTTCCCAGATTTTGTAAACTACCACCCTTGCTGGGTAGGCTTTGGTGACACAGCTGAATTATTTCTATTCCTGTAAGTAACTCCAACAAAACTAATTGGTTCATCAAGTTTGGTCTATCATGGGTGCCCTATCTGGGGTGAATATAGATGTGTTGTGTCTCCCCAGGAAAGTTTTGGCACACAACTGCCACAGACTGCTGGGTACATATTGTTTACCTCCCACAAAGATTGTGCCTTACATGTTAATGTATTAAGCAATGGTCAGGCTCACAGAAAGCAGAAACAAATT